TTGTGCGGGAGCTTTATTGGACAATGGCTCGGAATTGTTAATCGGAGAGCCGAGTTTCAATTCCAGTTGGGTTCATTATATTCACTTACGCGCAAATACTCTTGGGAAAGATATAACTCCACCTCTTCTCCCTTCAGCTATGGGTTAATTAGTAAGACTTGTATTACTTAACCACTATTATGCCCAACACAAATTCTTACAATCTAAAAAAATCTGGCTTTAAATAACTTGCAAAAGGTTTATAAGCTGTAGAAAACAAATCAATCAAGAACAGGCTGTATTAAGAATAGTGTTTGTTCAGTGGCTATTGTACAGGAAGTGATTAATATATCCATGAGACAAGAAGGGTCCAGAAGCCAGGTTACGCAGTTAGGTACAATCGGTTACTTACTTTCGTGATATATCCCAGGTTCCCTTTCGGAAGGCTGTTCCGTGCTGTCAATTTAATAACTTTCTAACCCAACAATAAATTTTTGGAGATCAAGGAATAACTTGCCCTTTCAAATATTTTCTTTCAAGAAAAAAATTTATAAACCTTTCGGCCTTGTGTCACATCTAAGCTACGCCCAGAAAAAGACCATAAAACGTATAACTATCTTTTGTTTATCCTCATAATTTAAGTGTGCCACCGAAGTTTAACTACAGATACAATTGTGCGCGAAGATAAAATAAAAAGATTGAAAAATATTGGACGAGAGATGTTGCATCGAAAAGAATTGATAAACATAACACTTCCAGAGACTTCTAGGTTGCAAGTATACACTATATGTTGCCTGGATACTCATTTATTTTGATCTCATTTGTCTAGCTTTAAGCTAAGCTAACTACATTTTCAACGTAGAAAACGCAGAGCGGTTTTTAAAAAAAATAAAATAAAATAAAATAAAATAAAAAATAAAAAAGAAAAGCCTTTGGAAATATGATGGGTGAAATTTGTTTTTGTTTTTTTGTTGCCTTTTTTTTTTTTTTTGTTAGCTTTTGTTTTATTTGTTTTTAAAATCCATACCTTGCTATAATCAGGGCAGATTCAAGAATATCGTGGGCCCACAACGAATCTATGATATGGGTCCTCCCCACTCTACTACAACTCAATTTTCATAAGGTAGTATTAATATAAAATACAAATTTTATTGTAAATTAATGGATCATATGCAATAAAGGTGAACAATTCATCTAGAAAAATTGAAAATAAATACAATGTGTCTAAATAGAAATTAGAGACCTGTCATAATAGATCATTCCATCTTAAATAAATCAGGAATGTTTTGCGACAATATTTAACATCACCTCGAGATTTTTCTTGTTAAAAAGTTTTAACAAATTTTAACAAATTCAACATTGTGGATAAAAAATAGTGAATTTCATGTCGTATTTTTCGGGACTTAGCATGAGCAAAACAAATACACGGATTTGGACGAAAGAAAATCGAGAATGAAATCAAAATTCGCGTAAATTTGCCTTCCTTTAATAGTAAGTCGTGCTTAGTTTAATTTGTAATTGTAATTTATGTTAATAACATAAAGAGGGTTACAAAAGACTGCCCTGGCCCCAATCAGGTTTGCTCCTCCTACTGACCGGGAAATTCGTGAATAGTACGCACCGGCCCTGGCTATAATTAATTATGTCCGTGGAGATTTTATATTTATCAAGCTGACAAATCGCTTCCTTCAACAATTTATTCTCTCTTCTTATAATCCAAAATCTTGAATTGAAAATCCTTACACACTTCCATAAGTTTATTTAAACAACTTGTTTCTGAAACAGTACGTCTTTCACCAAACCACCATATGCCGGGTTGGTGATAATCTTTTCCTAAAATGTAAGTAGTTCTGTACGTTTAAGATCCATCTAAACATATAACTCCATTCTGTACAGGATTCATAGCTAAGTAAAAATGACAATTAATTCTGAGTGGATTCAATTGGACCTGGACAGACTGCGAGATTTTCTCGAGATAGAGACGATATTTGACTATGAATTTCGAGATTTCAAGATGATCAAATACCCCATATGTTTAATTTTTGAATGAAGCTTATGTTTTTAATTTAGACCGTCTTTAATTTAACCCTAATTTAAAAATAAAATAAAATGAAATATTACCAACCCCTACACCGACACAATGCGAGCGAGTGCCAAAAAAAAAAAAAAAAGTGATAACAGCACTTTTTTTTTCCCCCCACGTAGGTATCATGGTGACTAGTGCCAGTGAATGGGCGGAGTGACTAATTCCAGTTCTGGGAGAGAAGCCACGTCTTTCCCTCCCTCCCATTTTCTAAGCATCTGGCGATACATGGATACAAACTATCATTCCGCAAGTTACAGGAACCACAGTCACGAGGAAATCCTTTTCGAATGAAGAACTAGAGAATTTTGTATTGAAATATTAGAATAAGTATAATGCGATTACATTGGAATACATTCGAAATAAAAATAAATAAAAAAAAAGATGCGAACATATATAAATGAGTTTTATATACGCTTTTCCTCTCCTTCAATTTTGCACAAATACAAATATACATACATATCTATCTATCTATCTATCTATCTATCTATCTATCTATCATCTATGTTTATATATATATATATATATATATATATATATATATATATATATATATATATATATATATATATATGCAGTAACTTTTTAAATGGATTAAATAAACAAATTTAATTTCCTAAACAGAAAAGGAAGACGAGATGCGAAAATTCTCAGGAATTGATAGATAGATGGATAGATAGATAGATAATGTA